AACTCTGGAAGTCACTGTCAGCCAGTGAAGACAGATGTTGTAAGTGTGAACTGTCACAAAAGTCAAGAGAGAAAAATACATCATCAAATATGACAGATTGTAACAGACCTATTCAGACTGTGTGAGGAGACAGGGAGAGGGAGAAGTTTCAGAAAGGCGGGAACTGGTCTGTTTGTTGCTAAGCAGAGAGAGAAAGAACAAGGACAGAGGTTAAGAACTGTCAACATGAAAAAATAGAACAACACAAAGCCAGCACACTACAGAAAGAACACAGGCCGGCAGACCTGAGACAGCAGAGGGGCTGTGAGAAACGGTCTCCTCGCACTGCCTTAGCGATGGCCACCAGTGACCTGGAGTGCAGACGGTCCTTCGTGATTACTTCACACTCCCACACGGCACACACTCTACAACCAACCTGTGAGAAAGTCATGGGTAAAACACAGCATACAGCATATAAAAGATCAAGAGTGTATCTAAAGCTCATTCTAAAATATTACCTATAAATAGATTACAGTGGCCAAATGCCTCCACATATGAAAAGCTCACAGAAACACCTGTGTGTGTACTTCTAGTACCTTGTGTGACATAACAACGTCCACATCGTTGAATGGGGCATGAAGACAGCATGTGAACTGGGGTGCTAAGATCCCAAAAGAACCCTGTAAACAGGCCGTCAAGAGCACAGAGCCACCGGGGAGAGGTGCAAGGAGGGTTGCTAGAACTTCAAAGGCAAAGCAATGCTGTGAGATACGGCAATGGGGACTTTTGACAGAGCTATGGAGGCAAAGCAATGCTGTGAGATACTGCAATGGGGACTTTTGACACAGCTATGAAGGCAAAGCAATGCTGTGAGATACGGCAATGGGGACTTTTGACAGAGCTATGGAGGCAAAGCAATGCTGTGAGATACTGCAATGGGGACTTTTGACACAGCTATGGAGGCAAAGCAATGCTGTGAGATACGGCAATGGGGACTTTTGACAGAGCTATGGAGGCAAAGCAATGCTGTGAGATACGGCAATGGGGACTTTTGACACAGCTATGAGGCAAAGCAATGCTGTGAGATACTGCAATGGGGACTTTTGACACAGCTATGGAGGCAAAGCAATGCTGTGAGATACGGCAATGGGGACTTTTGACAGAGCTATGAAGGCAAAGCAATGCTGTGAGATACGGCAATGGGGACTTTTGACAGAGCTATGGAGGCAAAGCAATGCTGTGAGATACGGCAATGGGGACTTTTGACACAGCTATGGAGGGAGAGGGGGCCTTTTCAAAGTTAGAAACTTTTTTAATTGAAAATAGATTGTTTTTCCCATATTGAGACTATGGTTTCCCCTCCATCAAGCCTTCCAAGATCCTGTCTACTTCCCCATTCATCAAAATCCATGCTTCCTTTCAATCATTAGAACAAAAGAGCAACTAAAATAACAATAAAATAAAACTTTTTTAAATAAACAAGATAAATGGAATAAAATAAACAACCAAAAGGGAAAACGAAAGTTACATGAAACACATATAGATGATAAGACACAAATTTGCATACACAGAAATCCCGTAAAAACAAAATCAGAAACCATAACATATAAGCAAAAGATCTATAAGGCTAAAAGGAAAAAAACAAGAACAGACAAATCCCTGTGAAACAACGCACTTCCAATCTGTCCCTGAGTGTGTTGTGGGTTGGCCATGATGGCTGTGCACGAGCCCTGCTCTACTATTCTAGTCTCTGAAGTCACACAGCATGAGAGCACACTAGCAGCACTCTGAGATCCACATGGACCAGTGCCTTGCACCAGCAGAGAAGGCTCCTCCTGCAGTGGATGGGGACAACACAGGGAACCACACTGGACGATGGGCACAGTAAGTGGCCTTGGAGCACTGGGTTCTCAATGGGTGTCTCCATCAAATCCCTCAGGGACTCTGTAGAAGAGGAGGCAGGAAGATTGCAACAACCAAAGTGGGCAAAAGACACCAAGGGACGAAAGGCCTTGACCACAGGACTGACACCTACAAACTCAGAGACAGGGAGCACGCGCAGGATCCGCACAGGTCTAAGGCAGACGGGGGCCCTACACCAAGAGGCTGATGACCTGGTGGTTTCATTAATCGAGCACAGATTCTAACCACAGCCACACCATGGATAGCTGTGCACGGGTGCTTCCCGTAATACATACTTTAAAAGCATGATTAAACAGATGTTATCAAAGGTCACCAGGGAGACCTCTCTGCGCAGGGGCAGGGAAAGCCAAAGGCCAAACCAGCCACTTTCCAGTTTAGTAAATATATCCGTGTTGGAACACAGTCACTTACGCTCACTTGTGTTCTGGCATTGGATGTCTTTGTGCTACAGGAGCAGGACAGTTAGAGACCATTTGATTCACAGAGACTCTCTCTGACTAAGATACCAGGGAAACTATTTTATCCATAGACACCATCTCATGCTCGCATTAGTTTGGGCTTAGCGTACTACTATGATGAACTAACGCCTTGGTCTGCAAAGAACGTTAATTCTTAAAGAAGCACACTGCTTTTCTTTATCAGGATGTATTCACGGTCAAAGCGCTTCATCTTATTACAATCCTGTATGCATGCATGCGTGTGTGTGCATTGTGTGCATGTGAGTGTGTGTGCACATGAGCGTTCACGTGAGCATGTATGTGTACATGTGTGCACGCGTGTGTGCACGTGTGTGTGTGCACGCACATGTGCACCATCTTCTTCCTCCACTCATCTATTCATCTATGGATGAGCATATATGGAATATGTGCTGGTTCCTTAACCTGACTTGTTAAACATGTGGAAATAAGCAGGGGCACAAAGGTATCTCCACTGTAATCCAGGAATGACTCTGTAAGGCGCACACCTAACAAGACAGCTGAATCACAAAACAGCTCCGTCTGTAACTGCCAACAGGGAATCTCTGAACTGACCCCACAGTGACTAAACTATCCACATTCTCAGCAACACTGTGTCGCCATTCCTTTCCCTGCGTCCATGGCAACAGTTCTTCCTGTCTTGTGGCTCATAAAAATTCTCAAAGGGCATGTACAAATATCTTTCTTGTCATTATTTCCTCAGTACTGTATGGATACATCATTTGTGTTAGATTCGATATTATAAAAAAGAAAAAGTTAACTCTGACTGGGATAAGACACAATTCCGGTGTAGTTTAGATTTGGATTTTAATGATGGCTAAATTTCCTGAACATATGTGCATGTGTTGGTTGGTCTATCTACTTTATCACTTGTTAAGTTTCTGTCCCACTCATTTGTCCTCTCTCTAACTGGATTACTGGCTTCTCTGTCATTCTCTTTTCATTTTTACATATTTTACATGTTAACTCCCCCACCCTCCCTGAGAATACGAGTGAAGTGTTTCGGGTTCTGCTGTGCTGTCTTCTTCACTCCACTGACTATTACTCCTGCTGTACAGAAACCTTTTTAATTTCATGTGATCACATTAATCACTTGTTCCTGTTCTTCCTGGGCTGCTCGGAGCCCTGAGGAGTCCATGCTTCCTCTCTATTTACCCCCAGCGGTTTCAAAGTTCAGTCCTTCCATCCCTCATCCATTTGGGGTTGAGTTAGGACAGGGTGAGGAGCAGGCATCTACCTTTGGGTTCCTGCTGTGTGCACATTCAGTTTCACCAGCAGCATTTGCTAAGGGCCACCGTTCTTTCTGAAGCATGTTTCGGGGACCTTTGACAAAATTCAGACTGCTGCAGTTACGTGGGATCCTCGCTGCTCTTCTGTCTCATGGGTCTGGGAATCTGCTTGTGTGCTGGCGGCATGCGGCTTTGTAAGCATCCCCTTCTTCCTGGAGAGCACTCTCTTTGCGGGCATCATGGCACGGCATTTTAAACTAGCCTTTCAAGCAACTCATTTGCAATTTCTACTGTGGCTAGTGACTCAGCTGCACACAGACTATAACAAAAGTTAATTTTATATCTCTAAGACAGTCCCGAATCTGTAACTGTGTGCTTCCTTAGTATCTACACCTACCTTCCGTCTGGACAATTATAAATCTTTTCAAATTTCGGTATTGAATATGTTAGCTCGTGTTTCCCCCTTAATATTTATTGAATGGTGTCAACAGAGCTCTCCTCTCCCATGCTTGTGTCTGTTGAGGAATCCTCACTTCTAACCTCACTGACTACCCTGGATTCAGCAGGCACAGCACTGTGCGCACGGCTAACACTGTGTGCACGGCTAACAAACACTGTGTGCACGGCTAACACTGTGTGCACGGCTAACTCTGTGTGCACGGCTAACTCTGTGTGCAGGCTAACACTGTGCGCACGGCTAACTCTGTGTGCAGGCTAACCCTGTGCGCACGGCTAACACTGTGCGCACGGCTAACACTGCGCACAGCTAACACTGTGCGCACGGCTAACACTGTGTGCAGGCTAACACTGTGCGCACGGCTAACACTGTGCGCACGGCTAACACTGGTCTCTGCTTCTCCTTCTTCGTTGGTCCCCACTCATCCCTTCCATCCTGACTCTCGACGTGACAGACAGACTCTGAAGAGAAGGTAGTGCCCAACAGTAGAGACACAAACCAAGAGATGAATTCACAACTTCTGAGTTCTTTGGATTTTTCAGATTTTTATTTTTTTGAATTTCACTATCAAAGTCGTCTACTTTTTAAAAAGCTATGAGTGGGCCAAATGTGCAATTTCAGTATGGCAAAATGTGGTTCACAGCTAACGTGCTGCAGCATTCAAAAATCTAATTCATAGAAAAAGCTGTAATCTAACAAACACACACACACACACGCACACACCTGCAGTTACATGCTACACATGGAGTTTGAACCTCTTGTAAAATCAAGATTTAAAAACACTTCATTTATCAATATTGATATGAAATAAAATTTTTGAAAAGAATAACTACAGACTATACCCCACCAAACAAAAATTGGCTTAAAAGCCCACATTTAGAGGCATTTCTAAAATGAAAACACCAAACAAAGGAAGCCCAGCAGGGCGGCACATACCAGAGTGGTGGCAGTCGTCCATCGACTGTGGAGCCTGGACGGTAAAGGCCACCAAATCGGGCGCTAAGAGCGACTCAGGCTTTCTGCTTTCATTAAGCCACCTTGTGCTATGGAGGTCTCTGGTGTCAGAAGGACCCTGGAGCAAGGGAATCAACTTTTCTTTTCCACTGTCACCTGGAAAGAAACATTGGTTTAAAAAAAAGGAAATTTTAAAATTAATATTTATATAAAATACAGTAGTTTCGAAATGCTTGTTCTTAAATGGTGCCACTGAAGTAATGATTAAATAATAGTTGCCCCTTTAGCTGTCTACTAATAATTGAAATGAGTGACTGTTAAGCTATTTAGCTTAATAAAGTTTTGACATCCTGCTAATGAATATAGAACATGTTCAGGAGAGTTTATAAAACGAAATGACAGAGATACACTTCAACACACTATGATATGATGGAATTCAAGTTTGCTAAAACAACTGCAAATATCTTAAGGAGAGCATTACGAAACAAAACACTAAAGACAGAGGACCACAAACACTAACTTTCGTAACACCCAACTGTGGTGTTTAAATCCACTCTACCAGCATCTTAATTTAATATTTAATTGACACACACTATCATATCACATTTGTGTCAAAACTGTAACAATGTTCTTTTAATTTTTTCCCTCATAACTACTGTTAAAACTATGGGAAGTTCTTCACCATGAATTAAAATTAATTGGTAAGTATCATCCCTGTACAGTTAAAAATACTAAGCATAAATAAAACAATGAAAAGCCCTGACTCTAGGAACAATGAGTAAATTCTTGTTTCATGAAATGCCCCTTGTAAAAGGCAAGGCCGATTCTCCTACACAGGCAATAAAGTTTTACACGGTCCAGCTGCACATACCTGGGGCTTTGGCACAAACTTTTATTGATCCCACGGTCCCAGAGGCACATCTGACCAATGATGTACTGCAGTACTTCAGCTCAACATTCTGGATTGAGCCCTCAAGAGTTGGCAGGGGATTCTTAGATTTCACACCTAATAAAAGAAAACTGCAAATGTACTAGCTGATTGAATTTAAATAATTTTTATATTCCTTCACCAAGGTATTTAAAGTTAATTATACTTTAATTATCTACCTCAGATATTCTTCAGTATTTGTGTTAGGTTTCAGAGTTCAATATTTAAAAGGTAAAAGGACACAATTTTAAAACAAGTGGGTTGAACTCTGATAACTGTACTTCTTATATCCATTCTTGATTGGAAGAACTCAAGACATGAAAATAAATGGATAAATCATTACACACAACTCAAGAGGAAGTTTAAAAATCATACTTAGTTTCAGAAAACATAATAAATGTTATATTTTAAACAAGTTTAACTTATTTTGGCATAGATATTTACAAAGAAAACTACCTGAGTGAGGAGATAGAAATAAAACAGGTCAAGACAGTTTATAGCTGAAATACAATGTCTTATAAGCAAAGAAAAGCAAAGGGGTTTTTATTGAGTAACCAAAAAGTAGATATTGCTATGGCTACTGGACGATACTTGTTAATATAGAAAAGTTGAGAAACTTCCATTTTAATGGCCAAGCCTGGCTTTGAACCTGGGGGGAGGATCAGACAAGCGGAGAAGCCTACAGGATATAATAGTGACGAGGAAAGGAGGAGGAGAGGAAAAGGTGGGGTGAACTAACACTTACTCCAGACTTACTATGTGTTATCTACTAACTGGAGATGAGGTCAGTCTCCACAGAAGACTATAATATAGATACCGCTATCCTTTTTGATGCATGGATTGGAGGTGAAATCTAAATTTCACAGGAGGACCTGTAATCACTTAACATTTACTGAGGAATTGCATTGTGTTATGCAAATGAATTCAATTTCACAAAAGACTATATGATATAAATGTTACTATCCCCACTGTATGGATAAGAATATCATGAATTAGAGGTGTTAGCTAAATTTTTGCACCATGCACGAAAGGTAATAAATGAAAGAAGAAGGTGTTAAACAATGTCATATAATGGAACCCTGCCTAGAAGGGGTCTGTACCTCAAAAACTGCTGGCTGAAGGAGTTCCGACAGCCCACATATGTGACAGAACAATTCCGTCTTTCTCTAACTCATTTTGAGTACACTCGTGAGCATCCAGGAATTCTATTTCCCTTCTGTTCCTCTTCTCAAATTTTAGTGAAACACAAAGTATCATCTTTCATATTTGAAGATTCCTTAATTACACATGATTTTAAAAATAGTTTCTAAGTCACATTAAAGTTTCTTCTAAACTCTCATGTCTAACTACAGTGTAATTGAATATCTACTCTCTCTCCAAAAGTACATGAAAGTCTTCCTAAGCAGTAATCAGGAATCACCATGCTAGGTGACTCAGAGGAGAGCATGTTGGAAAAACTTCCCATACACTGACCCTCACTTCTGAAAGAAGTCTTACTTTTCTAATCTTCCTTCACCTTGCCCATTGTCCTAGCTGGCATTTGTCAACCTGACACAAGTTGGGTCAGCTAAGAAGAAAGAATCTTACTTGAGAATATGCTTCAGTTGAGATTGGCCTACAGGAAAGTCAGTGAGGGGCTGTCTCAGCGTCACAGGTGTGGGGCCATCCCTGGGCTAGTGATCCTTAATGCAGTCAGAAGGCAGGCTGGGCAAGCCCTGAGGAGCGAGTCAGTGACCTCTGCTACTGCTCCTGCCTCCAGGATGCTGCTCTCCTTGAATTCCTGCCCTCGCTTCCCTCAGTGATGGACTGCTACACGCAAGTATGAGGAAAATAAGACCTTTCTGCCCCAAGCTGCTTTCAGTCATGGTGTTTACCACAGCAGTAGACACTCTAAGGCAGTCATTATGTACTGTGTATCAATTAATTGCAAATTTACCATGTTCAGAATGTGTTCAAATTTATGCAGAACAGAAACTGAACTAAGCTCTGTAACAGATTTAAAGATTTTATGAAGCCAATAAAGTAATATCAAATGTTGTGTATTTCTCAGGTTTTAAAATTCCATGATAGGAAACATTTAAATAATGTCCAAGACAATTAAATGGCAGAAAATTTTATATAATCATAGTGCTGGCAGTACAGTTATCATAACATCTGACATAGTGTCAACACTTAATTGTGCCCAATTTATTTATTCATCACACAAAAAAATAAGAAAACCATTACTACTCTGATTTTTACACCATTGTGCTTTCAAGATGTTATAATCAGAATATAATTTACCTTGACTCAAACACTATCACAGATGAAGATAGGGACATAGAACTAACACTCTCCCCTGTTTCTCAAACCTTATAGACTAACAACCTATACTAATCGTTTAAAAAGTATAAGAATCCTACAGCAGTGTGTCTTGCAAGTGGCCACAGTTGTTCTACTACAGATGGTGCCTGTTACATGTACATGGAGTTCTACAATGACAGCTCATTGGTCATTGTAGAACGTGTGGGGTCTGTGGTGGCTTAAACAGGTATGGCCCCGTAGACTTGTGTCTGAATGCTTGGCCCACAGGGAGTGGCACTATTAGGACATGTGGCTTTGTTGGAGTAGGGGTGGCCTTGTTACAGGAAGTGTGTCATTGTGAGGGCCAGCTTTGAGGTCTCATATGCTCGAGCAAAGATATAGGTTTCCTATAACCCAAATTTTAATGTTAAGGAACAATTTCAAGAAATAAAATAAATTACCAAAAAAAAGCCAATTCTGTAAGAAGCCATGGAAAACTAAAACTTATGTAAACCAAGGAGCATAGCTGTGGAATGTGTGTGTAAACCAAGGAGCACAGCTATAGAATATGTGTGCAAACCAAGGAGTATAGCTATAGAATATGTGTGTAAACCAAGGAATATAGCTACAGAATATGTGTGCAAACCCAGGAGCATAGCTAGGGAATATGTGTGTAAACCCAGGAGCATAGCTAGGGAATATGTGTGTAAACCCAGGAGTATAGCTATGAAATGTGTGTGTATGTAAGCCAAGGAGCACAGCTGTAAAATACAGAAACAGATTTGGCTGAAGTGAGAAATCCATGATGCAGTTACAAACTTCAACATTCCCAGGGACTGACAACTACCTGGATTGCAATAAAGAAATAGATGGTAAGAACCACATAACCATAAGCTTCCAGACAAACTATAGAAGAGGCAGATGTCCACAGGCTAGGCAACAGGAAAAGACCACATTCTCCTGGCCCATAATTGGATCTCATCAAAGTAAGAACTGCGATGATGGGTTTGTCCTCTGGCCAGAGCAGCTTCAACTCTGAAGTCTTCGAATGCTGAGAAATTAACAAGTCTAGGGTTGTCACAGGTCAAAGAGGAAAACTTGAAGACATTCTTTTAACCCACTGATTAAATTATAATTTATCAAAATTGGCAGAACAGGGCAGGGTGGTGTGAAAAGGAAGTTAACAGCTTTAGATCTCTATGTTAGAAGCACAGTCAGTCCCTGCAAAGAGCATGAAAGACAAACACCTAAATGAAGGGATGGAACAGAGGATCCTAAGAGGCACACATACATTTCCTAGATGATTTCGAGCAGAAGTGTAAGAGAAACTCAATAGTGAAGGTCACTGAATCCTACACTAATAATAGAAAGAAAGAAAAAACTGGAGTGCAAGAAAACTCAATACATATAATTCTTTGAACAATTACAGAAGGAAAGAAAACATCATTGGGACCTAGAAGTAGGCAAAGAATTCCTAACCTGAATTTCAAAAAACAAAACAAAACAAAAACAAAATACACCCAATCCATAAGGGATCCGGCCATACAAAAATGAAAAGGGATCTAAGTAAAATGTTGAGAAAGAATATTTGAAAGCCACATGTCCCACAAAGAACCAACATTATGGGGAACGTATAAAGACTCCTCAAAATACACAAATAATATTAAGATGGTCTAGCATATGAATAAACATTCTACTGGTAAGATTTATAAGTAGAAAACAAAGACATAAAGGTGGGAATATAGAAGGGTGAGGTAAATGTAGATAATAAGGGGAATAATAGGAAGTTGGTACATTCTATTTTATTGTATGAATGTGTAAAATTTTTATGAATAGAAAGATATGTATTATGCTGGGATTTTGATAGGGATTGCATTGAATCTGTAGATTGCTTTTGGTAAGATTGCCATTTTTACAATGCTGATCCTACCTATCCAACATCACGGGAGATCTTTCCATTTTCTGGTATCTTCTTTAATTTCTTTCTTTAATGACAAAGTTATTGTCACACAGGTTTTTCACCCGTTTGGTTAGTGTTACCCCAAGATTTTTTATGTTACTTGTGGCTATTGTGAAGGGTGATGTTTCTTTGATTTCTTTCTCAGCCACTTTATTGCCTATACATAGTAAGGCTACTGAGTTAATCTTGTATCCTGCCACTTTGCTGAAGGTGTTTATCAGCTGTAGGAGTTCCCTGTAGAATTTTTCGGGTCACTTATGTAAACTATCATATCATCTGCAAAAAGTGAGTTTGACTTCTTCCTTTCCAATTTGTATCCCCTTGATCTCCTTTTGTTGACTTATTGCTCTAGCAATAACTTCAAGTAAAATATTGAAGAGATATGAAGAGAGTGAGAACCTTGTCTTGTTCCTGATTTTAGAGAAATAGCATTGAGTTTCTCTCTATTTAGTTTGAGGTTCGCTGTCGGTTTGCTGTATAATGCCTTTATTATGTTTCGATATGTTCCTGTTATCCCTGATCACTCCAAGACCTTTATCATGAAGGGCTGTTGGATTTTTGTTAAACACCCTTCATCCAGCAGCTGACGGAAGCAGAAGCAGGCACCCACAGCTAAGCACTGAGCCATACTCCTGGAATCCAGTTGTAGAGAGGGAGGAGAGATGAGCAAAGCAGTCAAGACAGTGCTGGAGAAACCTACAGAACCAGCTGACCTGACCTAGTGAAAGCACATGGATCCCAGTCGTAAAGCTAGGAAAACAGCATTGGACCAAACCAAGCCCTCTTAATGTGGGTGCCAGTTAGGAGGCCTGAGCAGGCAATGGGACCTCTAACA